AGAAATTATGGCTCCTCTCAATAAGCCTAAACGTAGCTTATGCCTCTAGAGCAGAAGTGAGGAATATGTAGTCCTCCAAAAAGCCCACAGCGAGGGGAGAGAGAAGTAGCAGCCCAGCAACACCCGGAGTGCCACATGGTCCCTACCTCTCTTCGAGAGACTTAAATAATCTGCCTAGTGATCACAGAACAGAGCAGAAGAGGCTAGGGGTGGCATTTGCAACAGAAAGGATATCTATCTATCTATCTATCTATCTATCTATCTATCTATCTATCTATCTATCTGAAACATTTCTATGCTGCCCCATTCGCCAAAAGCCTCGGGGCGGCTTACAAAAATAAGAGAGCGATCTATCAGCGAGGCCAGGAAATCCAGTGCCAAAGGAAGAGGCTTTCCTTGTCTAGTTAATCAGGACTCTAAATGCCTTGCAGTGCGATCCCACAAGTGTCAGCTCTGACTGCGGTACCACTGAGTTCAGTGAAACTTGCTCCCATGTGAATGTGTACAGAACTGCAGTTTCAGTTTCTCAGACATCAAATTATCCAATTAACACAACCAAGTTATAGCTGGAGTACCGGTTCCACAGCAGGGGTGTGCACTGAAAAGCATGTCTACTGTCTCCCTTAACTCACACTGAGTGAGGAAAGCCAGCATCACCAGGACTGTGAACGCAGGAAGTGCTCCCTCAGTACGACTAAAGGTTTTCTCTCTGCCTCCTTTACCTTCCCTAACTCTGTACCTGGCATAAGCTGTTCGCCACATCTCTGCAGCAGAAGCAACCACTGAGCTACATCTCTGAAAGCAAGACTACCAGGAGTTCGTCTGTGGAGGGCTGGCACTGCCAAATGGAATGACAGGAAAGCAACAGACTTCTAGGATATTTGCCGAGCTCTGCACACCAAAGGCTCATTTCTGTTAAAAATACACAGGCACACACACTAAAGTCTCTCTTCTTTTTAAAGCATTTCTTTCACAAGTGGTAGCCCCTATAAGAAACTGATATATAGCAATAGAGGGCAGTAAAGAGAATTGTGTCACTGTAGATGACATCACTGAATTTTCCTTTCAGAATGATGCCCCAAAGACCAACTTTTTCTTCAAGCCTAGTCGAAGAACTAAAATGAATATTGTTTTCATTTGCAGCCCACTGTGGAGTGGAAAATGTGGGGCCTTTTCCTTCCAGTCTAGCAGCCATTAGAACCTCATTTCATGCAAACCATTCCATCAGAGCTCCTTCTCTTATTACTAGTACATCTGCTTTTGTACTCCACTGAAGCAACTTTAATTTCCTTGAATACTCCTCTGTTATGTGAGGAAATAGAAATTACTTTGAAAATTTTGCCGTTTAGCACACTAGGGGTGCTTTTATCTTATGGCACTTCACATCCCTTTCGGACTGCCTCCCAAAGCCAGGAGTTCTCATCACTGGAAGTCAAAACAAAAAGGATCAGAAACAGAGATGGGAAAAATATCTGAAGTTTTAGTCCATGAACCAAAAAGCATGTGAGATAAAACAACTGGAGCCCAAGGTACAGGAAGGGAGCAGGTGGTGAAGAAGGGCAAAGCTTTAAGTAAAAATCTGGTGTGGCTTTGTTAAAAAGTGTTTGTTATAAGAAGGCTGCAAAAATGTTTCCATCACTAGGGACAGAGTATTTTCCCTAAAAGATCTTGGTCTCATGAGTATCACAGGAGAGAGGCTTCCGTCAATCCCTATTCACTGAAAGATGGGGAATGTCACGCACCAATGTGACCTGGCCCCACCTCCTGCCAGGGTGCTCTCTTGCATACAGACCCCTTTACATGCACAGAGGGCAAGGGGCTACGGCCAGTCAAGCTGGCAGCAGGGCTGCCCCATGTGGCTTCACAATCCCCCTTACACAATTTTCCAACATGAGCGGGAGGACAGCTGCCTCCCCCCCCCCCATGGTGACTGAGATAAGGAAAATAACACAGGATACCCTGTTCACCTAATCACACAAAAAGTCCTGTGACCTTCTACAAGGAACCCTGGAGAGCTGATACATGTGCGTGCACTGAGAAAACTCCACGGTAACTGTCAGATACCTAGCTTAAAGTTATCAAGGAACTTTTACACAGGTTAAGACGGAGGTGATAATTCTCCGAATGTTCCTGTAAGTGAGTTTTTCATACGGACTGTAGCTTTCAATCGGCAGCAAAGCTATTAATAGCCGGAGATCAATTTTCTTCAACAAAATTCTCTTTCCTGTCATCTTCTCTGAAACAGAGCTCATGATCTAAAATTTTCTCCTCTCAACTGCAGAAATATTCATGCTGCCCCTAATACTCTCTTATCACCAAATATAGACAAATCAGAAAAACTCAAGAGGTCAATTCCTTTTACATGCCCCTTGTAGGTCCCCAGGTTTTACTGCAAGATGTCAAACAGATAAAAATACCTCATTCAGTAATGACTAAGTGTGCTTCCTGCTGCTTTCATACAAGTGTATTCACTGGTTTTAAATAGTTAAATGCTGAATCAGCAGCACTGAGAAGTTAGGGCATGTTTCAAACAAGTGGATTCATTCTAGGTTTAATCCTTTTAAAGATCAGCAAATAGAAGCCCCACCTGGTCTTACTACACATAGTGACTAACCAAAAGGTCCACTGGTTATACTATTCTCAGAAGCACAGTCAGAATTTGAATAACCTTCCCAAGGCCAGTGAGTCAAATGGAAGCAGAACTAAAATACCCTGATGGAATTAATCACAAGATCAACATATACGCTAAGCTACTGTATATGGTTGGAGTGGGGATGGAAGTTGGTGGAAAAAACCCGTTCCATGGGGGGGAAACCTGTTCTCGTTTCAGTGAGAATTTGCATTTCCCAAACAAATGCATAAACTGAAATAATTATCCTTTGGTATTTGCTGTTCTCTAAATGCTGCTATGAAGTTCTCTGATCAAAAATATGTATCAAAATGTGTATATTAGGGAAACATACATGGAAATACATATACTTGTGAAAATAATGTATAAGAAAACTACTTGAAAATGCATATGCAGAGAGCAAATTGGATACAAAGTTGTGATTATTAGGTGAAACACATATGAAATCATGTGAGCATTTCTTGTGGAAAGTTTTGTTTTGGTTAACAAAAGCACAAACTCATGTGTAAATGAGCTAACAAATAGAAAAAAGAGGAATGGAGTGAACATGATATTTACGAATTTCTCCAACCCTAGCTTGGAGACAACCAAAGTCAATAAACTGGAGCTATAATAGTAAAATTTACATAGGCATGCAGCAAAATGTGTCTTCATTTGGATTGCCTACTATCTGGGGGATTCAGACATTTGGATACTGAGTTTTCTACTGTACACAGGTTCCATGTGGAAAATCACAAACTAGCCTACATTCATGAAATAACCCCATCATCTGGCCCATACCAGCCTGTCCACCACCACAGAAATAATATAGGTAAACCAAAATGGTAGGGTGGGGAGACAAAAGAGGAGAGTTGTGATGGGAATGACAGTCCATCATGCTGTAATTTATCTCCAGTAAACAAGAAGGTAAGCAAGTAGGTCACTGGAAAAAACAAAGGCCCAGTTCTCAGTGAGGAGATCAGCTTGTGTCTGGACTACACCACTTCAAACTGCAGGTGGAGCTTCACATGAACAAAAGTTCCTTCAGACAACAATTTTCCTTATACAGAAAACCAGCAAATTTGGGAAAGGGGCCATAGTGCGGACTACCAAGCTTAGACTCTGGACAGTGATTCCAGAAGAGTGCACAAGCACATGCAAAGGGTTGTGTGGTAAGTGGGATACCATGGGGGCTATCCGAAAGATGTTCCATAAGTAGCCATCCAGGACACCACCTCTCAAAGTCATTGCTTAGAATAGTGAGAACCATGCTTCCATTTTTAGACAGTATTGCAACTGGTGCCATACCAAAATGCAATTACCACTGTATAATGTGGAAGGCAGAAGGTAGATATCCCTGAAACAACTCCCGGCATAGCCAATGGCCAGGAATGCTGAAAATTGAAATCCAAAGCAGTTAGAGGTCTACATAGGGGATACATGTGCAGATTGCTAAAATAACTGGCCATGGGGGACAAAACATTCAACTGCACCACCACAATATAATACACTGTTTCAGGCCAGATAGTGGGTCCTTTACTCCACCTGATGGATCCCATTTGGCGAATGGGGCGGCATAAAAACGTTTAAATCAATCAATCAATCAATCAATCAATCAATCAATCTTTCCTGGGGAAAAATAAGGGGAAAACCCCAAACTCCTTTAAAGTTACAACTGTGTTGATTCCACACTTGGCACTCAGGGTCAAGAGCCAAGGTTCCTCCTTCAAACAAACACAGTCCATTTTTTTTATTGCTTCCAGTTTGAGAGTCTGAGTGTGCACAGAGCAGTTTGCTGAAGCCAACTTCATGATTACTTCCAGGGACTCTCCTTAAGAACACGTCTGTGCCCTACCCATTCAGGAGGGACTGTCTGAAGGCAAGCAGGCCTCCTTTCCTCATGCCCTCTGCTCATCTAATTGGGCCTCTCACCTCTGCCTGCGCCTTGCCACTGGGTTCAGTTCAGAGCGGGCGGGCAGGCCTGTGCCTGTGAGTTCCTCATCCCCTGCATCCCCTCCCTCTGCCTGTACACCCAACCTGCTTGCAGGAACTGTCCTGCACAGCAAAGCACCTGTTCTTGAAATAGTCAGCTTCTGTTCCTCTTCCTGTTGCACCTTGAGCCAAATCAAGCTCCCCAATCTCACTGAGACATTTCTCACCTTCCAAAGAAGAATAAGCACATGGGACACGGCTAGTATCCCATGGGAGCACTTGCCCAAGCCGGCATCCCTCCCGCTCCCAACGCTCAATGATCTATTCTGAGCCACTCCATTCTACCACCCTCCACCAGAATTCTCTACTGGCAGTTTAAGGACAGCAACCCACCCCTCCTCTGTCCAAACTAGAAGCTGTTTGAAATGCAAAGGCAGACACCAAATTAATATAAACTTACCATCTTCAATGACAATTTTGATGAGGCGGATTGAACCACTCCGGGCCTTGGCAAAAAAATCCTTTAATTCCGTAGTGGCTAAAAGAATGAGAAACATAATGATCAGGATTTGAAAAGGCAACCTAAAGGATATTCCACTTTTCAAAACAAGAAAATTTGGTGAAAAAAAGGTGGGAGGAATGCAAAGTAAAAAAACTAATACAACTTTTTAAAAAAGCAGATTTCCCTTGTTCTGATCAACCTTGTGTGGTGCTATATTGACTCTCACAGAAGTTTCTGAGTTAAATACTGGCTGGAAGCACATGTGATCCGCAGAACTTGATACATGGCTTGGGTGAACATAATATCCCAAATTTAGCAGATAGTTTGGCTTGTGAAGACAGGGTGGACTCAGGTGACAGTTTATTAAATATACAGTGTTTCCTGATGTATATACATGGCACTGCTTGAAAGGGTGGTGGTGATTGGTTGAAGAGACTGTTTTGGCTCTTGCAGTGTTTTGCTTTATAAACCCCCTCAAGAAACATTCACTCTTCACCAACAGGCTACTGATGATCAAAGGGACAGACAGACATTTACAGAAATCAGAATTGGACCTGCTCTGGCATTTGCCCTCTGCCTGCCCTACTTTGACCCTTCAAGGATAATCTGCTATGAACCTGAGAGGGTGGCAGTCAGCTGAGCTCTTGTGAGGCTACAGATGCTGCCAAATGAAAACCCGTTGGTTGCGTGTTACCAACAACAACAAATACCTTTATCTTTATGTATGACAGTAAGGATCTGAGTTGTTTTGGTTGAAGATGATGTAACCCCCAAAATGCTTTCATCCATTTTACTAAACATGGACACACACAAGTCTAGCTGAGTGAGGTAGTAGGAATTATATTTTACAGGTACCATTAATTTACTATGGAAGCAATCAACAGTAACAGATAAAATAGACTGTTGGCCTTACAGGCTCACAGATGCTATTAATTTCACAATGTAATTAAACAGCCTTCCCAAAGCTGATGCCCTTCCAAGGGGGGATTGGAACTCCCATCATTCCCAGCCAGTATGGCAATACTGGTTGGAGGTGACAGTTCCAGCCCAATGCATATGGATGGCTAAATTAAAATAACAGCCACAATAAACATGTAAAAAGTCAGTCCTGGATAACATCCAATTGCCAGGCCTATGACAAGACTGGCTTCTAAACTGGGATGACATTGACACTGACCTAAAGCAGTCAATACTGGCTACCTGCTAACCATGTACTGCAAATTTGGAGTTGGCTTTAAACACTCACTCCCTCCACTCCTCTCCATCATGAATTTCCTCTCTCTTTTTTCACTCACATCTGTGGTTTACTGTTATATCTGCACCAAAGCACAATTGACGCCCAGCAAGTTTGCAAGCCAAGCAGGAACTGAATCAGGTTTGCAAGTCCAAGTAAAGAGGGTTTCTTGCTAATGCATGTTCTTAAAATGTCTCATGATGTGCAAACCACAGTCTAGTCAGCTGTCTCCCAGGTATTAATTCAATATAGCACTGATTTTTATGCTACTCAACTGGTCATGTGCAGCACCCCAAAACCACTTTCCTTTTAATGTTTCACATGCAGTTTGAAATATGAGTGCATTTTATCTTCATGGGATACAATGTAAAAAAGAAAGCAATATGCACTTTTACCAATGTTGATTTTACATTAGCCATACATGTCTATTTAAGGAAATGTCTGTATAAGCCTCTTCTGTAAAAATGCCTTAAAGGCCATTGGTGGTCTTCTGTGATGCTGTGCTTTATTTTTAACCAGAACATCTCAGTTGATCAAGATGTATTTTCTCAGGACCTTATAGAGGTGGATATAAGAAATACACCAAGCCTGAAGGAAAAGTTGAAAGTTCATTCCAAAGACAGTAAGGTCAAAAGATAAGATTATTATGGGGAAAAGACTAACTCTAACCTGAAAAACAGCAGGTTGAGGTAGAATGCCTCCTATGGGCACTCAAGAATATGCAGGTAACAGGTAAGATCTCCTGGAGGGCTATCTAATCATTCATATTTACAAATGCACAACCGTCACTGGCCAGGTGACAGCATAAAGTGAAGATATGGATCAAGGAGACGCATGAATGTTGGTTCAAGAGCCTGCCTGAATCCCTGCCCCCCCCCACACACACACACCCACACACGCACTCTCACTCCTGCTCTTTATACTTTCTCAGAGGATGGGACAAATAGTCAGGGGTCTTTAGTTGCTGTTCTTTCCAAAAGAATGGTCATCATCCATCCGGAGTGAGTTCCTGGGAATTTGATGGTCCTTACAACATGCATCAGCCACTGATACTTAACGACCTCATAGGCTGGCATAAAAGTTTCTTCTTACAACTGCAACTTCTTTTCCTCCTCCTTTCACCTGACTTGGGAGATTTGGATCTGCATCTTCATGCCTATTAGCCTACTCCCCACCCCCTTCTCATGGCCTTTCCTGCAAAAAAGCCAGGCACACAACGGATATTCCTAAAACAGCATCACGTAGACAGAGGAATGGTATACCAAGAGATTATTAACCACTGCAAAGCTGTTCCATTCATAAGCTTAGGGGTCAAGGAAAGTGCACTGGGCATTTAGCTGGAGACAGATGCAAAAGCAAAGGATTCTGGGCATCAGTCAGACTAGGGCTACCAACATTCCAAAAGTACTAAAGGATATATATTTATTAAGAAAAATGCAAAACAGTAGGCAGAAGAGCAAATTTAGTCTGTGCCACTGGTTGCTCCCAACTTCTGAAACCCCCTTCTTCTCATTCTGCTTGTATGTGTGCATGCATGCACACATGCACGTGCACACACACACTTCCTCTTCCATAGAATCCCCTCTCAGAGTTACACATATACACAAGGAGTCATTTACTCCGACAAAAAGAGACCTCTCTCTCTGGGCCACAATCCAGACATCCAGAGGAAGACAGGAAGCCTATATGGCTGTCTAGCACCTCTGTGGCTGAAACAGCTTTCCTTATTTCTTCTCAGGTGTGCTCTAAGAGTAGCTCTTGGGCCCATTTACAAGAAGCAGAGATGGTGAGGCAGCAGTTCATGGAGGCCTATAGGGAGTGTGCACTCTTCTATGGCAATATTGCATTACACGTACTGAGACCAACTGTGAGCCTTGTCTGACCCTTGCTGGGGCAGAGTGTTCAAATTTTTCCTATGCTTCCCCCACTCCTTTGGGTTCTCCCTGCTTTATCTTTCTGGTGTAATGTAGCAACAAAATACATGTAAGACACACCTGTTATTTTGCTATATGTATTCACGTGTGAAATTTGTTGTCTGGTATTAATGTGAAAATGCATGCCTAGAAGGGTTGTGTTGGCTCACCCATGTCAAAATTATTTTTCTGCACAGGTTGGGGGTAGGAGTTGTCAAGTAATGCCTCTTCCATCTATATTCCATGGCTTTCAACTTCTCCCACTTGTTTTCAGAGCACAGGCCACATTTTTTCACAGGAACCTACAATACTACAGTACTGCAGAATTTTCAGCATTTGGTACAGACATATTTGCTCTTTATTCAATACATGAAGCATTTTAAAATACTGTCCTATAGTCAAATGCTGAAAATAATATAGAAAACCATAATCTTAAGAGCAAAGGTAGTAACTTCTTACTAGCAGGTTTGGTAAATTTGCATTCTTGCATGGCCGTTTCTAAAAAAAAAAAAGTACTGCTTAGCCTATAATTCATTGGTGTGGTTTTAAAAAGGATTAATTATTTGGTTCTTACTAGATCTGAACTTCCCAATATTGCACTGCCAGTGCTCATTACAAGCTTCCTTTCTAATCTGGAAAGTTTAATCAGACTTGGTAACAGAGAAGCTCTGCAGGAAAAGCGTAACATGCAATGCCATCTAAGGTGGCGAGTGAATGCTCCGCTGGTATCTAGTTTAGGTGCTTTACAAAAGGGAGCCAGTGCAATTTCACTCATTAGTAAAGAGCTGCATTGAAAGGCTGTGGAGACCATCACTCAGCGCTGCTCAGGGTCATCAATTCCAATCACCGCCAGAGGCTGGATCCGTTCCATTTTTTCCTCTGTTCATACCACAGGCCTCATCTTTATTTTAGCACAGAGGTACCACAAGGAAGGTCAGCTTCATCTTCTTTCTATATAAGCAAGAGTATGCAAAATAAAAGTAAGCTTGTCTTTCATATATTTGAATGCACTTCTTCCCTCTAATTTCAAGACCCTGGGGCTTTGCAAACAGTTTACTTTTGTTTTTTCTTGTGTAGCAACCAGCTCAGAAGTGAAAGAGGGATCTGTACATGAAAGGCTTGGGGAGAAGAGGAAATAATAGGCACAGGCCAAGAGAAGGTTATGGGGAAGAAAGAGAAGACAAGGGCAAGGCATCAAAAACTTCAGCTCACACCAAGTCCTCTCCGTCACCACCACCTACATTTCTACACTGCCCAACAGCCAAAGCTCTCTGGGCAGTGAGCAAAATATTAAAACCTTAAAAATACAACATAAAACACATCTACACACAAAGTAATTTAAAACACTCCACAATAAACAACCTGGGACCTGTGTAAAACGGTCATCCTTCTCAAGCAGTCACATGCCAGGGAGTCAAAGAAAGCCTTAACCTGGCTCTGGAAGGATGGCAATCCTTGGTGCCAGGCTGATCACAGTGGGAGAGCATTCCATAGTTGGGGGGTGACCAAGAAGGCTCTCCTTTGCCAGCATCTTCTGAACCTCCCTTGGGAGAGGCACCTGGAAGATGCCTTCAGGGTTTATAGGTAGGTTCATGCTTGGTGCCTTGTCAGATCTTCTCCCAGTTAATTGGCCTCTAACTTTCCTCATTTTGCCTGCTGGTTTTCACCACAATTACCCCACAAGCATTTTGCTGCTGTTTGCAGAAGTGAGAAATAGCAAATGTTTTCTCATGCTATTCGTTAGCTTACCCAACCATCAGGGCAAGTGAGAGACATTCACACACATATATGATTCTCCTGTATCTTCTGCATTCATATGAGTAAAATAAGGAATAGCAAGAACCTTTCCTCACTGTTCTTTGCCTCAAATGAGATAAACAGTTGCCTCT